TGCTCAGGAAAAAAAAATTAACAGAGTTTAGCCTTTTCCAGTTAGTGTGCAGTGGATATAATGACAAGGCGCTTGCTTAGAAGTTAAGGAGAAAGGTATTTTTGCTTCTAACTATGTACATTCCCATCCCTTACAGTAATAACAAAGAATTCTTTGGTCACCTGAATGTTAGAGTTCTAGTGAAATACATATTGGTGATATTAAAATGTTGTGAATGAAGAGGTTCCCTTTCTTCTGAATCAAGGTATTAACTAAATACAAATGCCGAGATAGAGATTACATTTACCAACACTGATACAATTCACCTTGCACTACATTAGGAGTGCATTTATGCAACTATAAAAATGTGGGAGGCTGGAAAGGCCTATCAGGACACTTGTCTATTGTAGAAAAAAAAAATAATCCCATTAAAGAAAAATAGGGTGTGAAAAGTCACAGTTGAAAGAGAGCAGTAGGAAAGTATAGATGAATCTTATCAAGATGCAACAGATATAGCAGTGATGAAATTAACCAAACATAGGTACAAATTAAATCACATCTAGGCTGTGTGTACTCTGCTGAATCAAATCAGGTAAAAAATAAGGAAATAACAGTGCTTTGCTTCCTTTATGGTATCTTAAAAGGCATGTCAATTCAGATAAAGTGTTAACTGTAGCAAAGTTTCAGCTTGTTAGTAGGCACACAACAAATTAATCAAGAATGTCAACTGTCCTGCAAAGAACTCTATAATTCAGCAGCCTCTTCTTGTAGACTCTAGCCCATTTACTCCTGCAAGATTATCATACTATGCTGTCAACCATGAAAAGAGAAAAGGTGGTTTCAATAAGCTAAAGGAAGCTTCAATAAAGCAGCTGAAACCTCTGGCTGTCACCACAGGAGAATGACAAAATGAGTTTTTAAGCATAAGCATCCACAAACTTTGGAATTAAGTTAGGCTTGAGGTTTTGCATTATTCTTTCTGAAGAGAAGCACAGCTGTTGAATTTAAAGGCATTTTAGAGTAAGAAATTTTACTTTTTTGTGGGTGTGTTAACAATAGAGATCTTGGCTATTGTGTAAGGAAGGGAGATTGTTACCATGTGTATTAGGATATTTTGGGGTTTTTTTGTTTTCATTCTTCCAACTCCATAGACTGAGCAGCTAACAACTGGAGGTATTAGCTGCATCTTTACACCTGTTTAACTGATACAGAGGAAGAGTTCCATTTGCTTTCAGAAGGAATAAATCATTGCTACATGTACACAGATACATATATACACAGCTTTATGTGGGGAAGCCTCAGTTTAGCTATAGTAAATGGGTGAAACTTGCAAGAACACTCAAGAAAGACTGAATCTTAGAGACTTCAATTTTTTTTTCTGAACATAGACTATGATAAAAGTCTCAATGTTATGGTCTTGTAGAGCTCCTGCTTATAAAGCAGTTTTGTAAATGTGAGGTGCTTTCCAGATCCAGGCATACCCTGCAGCTATGGTTCTGATGATGCCTTTCAAAATGTGCCTCATTCTTGTTATGGTAGCACAGAAGGACAGAGCCCTGGGCACAAGGCTCTGAGTGTGGCACTGCACAAGCCTTTCAGTTCACCTTTCTAGGATGTTCTGTGTTTCTAATTGCAATGCAATTTTTGGAGCATTACTCCATCTGTCCTCTTGTTGTAGCAAAACCCGTTTGGTGCAGGTTTGATACTATGTTCATTCAGACAACAGAAATGAGCCTAGCAATAACTCGTGATAGGTCAGCTCAAATCCACCACAGTGGTTTGCAAAGGTGGTAAGAGCTGTCTGAGACATGCACAGAGTTGCATCTGTTGCCACAGAGTAGAACTGTGGCTACGTGGCTGTCGCTTGAGTTGAGGGTTTATACCTCACATATTTCTCTTGAGATGTCATTCTTCTGTTGGCACTGTAAATCCAGTGGCACCTTGTGGAATAATGTGTCATGAGTTGTCCCCTACACAATAATGATGGAATATCACAGCAGCTTGGAACATTCTTAATATGCAAAATATTGGCCTTCTAGTGCTGTTTGCTGCACCTAAACACTGCAAAGTGTCAGCGATCCCCCAGCTGCAAGCGAGGATATGGCAGGGTTGAAAGAAGTGTTCTCATTTGTACTGGGCTTAGAAATGTAGCATTGATAGCTTGTTTGGAAGAAGGTGAAATCACAGGAGAAGTAATTGTTATGAAAAACAATAATCCAAGCCAAAGTTGTTGGCTTTTTTTTTTTTTGTTTGTTTAAAAAAAAAAAAACAACCTAGAAGAAGAAGAGAAAGGAAAAAAAAAAATGTAGATAATATGAAATAAAAGATAATGCAACCTGAATTAAAACCAGACACAATGAAGTTTTGATGTGGCAACTTCTCATCTTGCAGAGATGCTACTGAAGTTGCAATTCTCTTTGCTGTGGTGGATCCATTTAGGTCGCATTGTACTTTGCATGTTACTGTCAGTTTTTATACTATTTGAGACTTACTCTATGCATTTTTCTGGCTTGTTTTTGTCTTTTGACTGTAGACTTCTGTCTGTTTTTGGGGCCCATTTCAGTTGGTCTGTTTTACTGTATTCTGGTCTCTGGTCTCTTGTCTTTTCCCCTCTCCCTCCCTTGGCTGGGATCCTTTTCTGCATTCAGAGCATTTGCTCTTGGATTTCACAGGAAATTTTGTAACTTGTCCATTTCACTGGGTTTAGAGTATTAATATTTTATGTTACTATTTTTCTATTACTAAAATAGCACCCAGAGGCATCCCAGCTGAGGTCAAGACCTTGCTGTACAAACTAAAGTAGGAGGCAAGCCTGCTCCCAGGTGCTTGGAGGGCAGCTGACTGGTGTTTGGGTGCCTGCATAAATCGTGGGATTAATAGCTGCATATTTCTACAGGTTTCAGGCTAGGATGCCAAAGCACTTCTCACACACAAATAAATTTAGCCTCCTTTCCTCTATGAAAGTCAGAGACTTGGTTCTGCAGTAACACTTTCCCCCTCTCTAATTCCCACACATGTACTTGTTACTGACATATATATGACTCTGGTCAATATAGGTGCTTAACTTTTTAAAGAGCCTGTGTAAGTCACTAAGTGCATATTGATTTGAAGCAAATGTAAATTAGAATTAATTTTGACTTGCTAACGTAGTCAAATAAGGAACATTTCTATTGATCTCTGTCCCAGAAGCCAATTATCTGGATTAAGCATTTTTATTACGTGAAATGCAGAGTATAGTATATATCATTCTGCATTGATCAGTGTGAAATTGCATATTTAAGACAAGGACTGTAAGTAAGAGTAGTTAACAAGTGATTTATTTTTAAAAGGCATATCTTGTTTTATTTACCCCCTGCTCTTCCCTGTTCGAATGCTGTGTTTGTAACTACTGCTGAATAGGAGGTTGTTGATGCATGTGAATCAACAGGGATTCTTGTTCATATCATTTCCATTTCAGCTTCCTTCCCTTTCACTCTGCTCCATCTATACTGTGTGTTCCCTCTCCCTTCTGTCTTCCCAGCCCCCTTATCTATATTTCCTACTCCTTATGTTGAGCAGTTCTTGCCGTACTGCATGAAAAAAATGCTTTCTACACTGAACAAATACATCGCAGCCATCGCTCCTGCAAGCAAGCGCTGCTCAGCATCAGGAGCATTTATTAGCACACGTACAGGGGATGATTACAAAAAGTGTGCTGAATACACATGACGGCGATGCTGTAGCCAGTGCCAGGGGTACGGACGCGCCGGCCCCTTTGCGGCCACTCTGCCGGGGCTCAGCAGGCGGCGGGGTCCGCTCCTTCCCCGCCGAGCCCCCGCTCGCCGGTGCCATCTCGGGAGCAGGATGCGGCCACGGCGCGCTGTTACCAGGCTTGCCGCTCGCAAGACGGCGACCTCCAGGAATCGCTCTTCCTCCCGTTATCCAAAGACTGACATTATCTGTATGTATCACTATAGCGGTCCGTGCCTCAGCCCCGCAGCAACTTAATAATCTTGGTAACATCCTGCTCTCAACTCATTTTCTTGGCAGTAGTTTTAATTACGTTTCGGGCTCCTGAATGAATTTGTTTTCTCTGGGTCCTCGGTATATTGAGACGCTTGTCACGTTTGGGTGCCTGCAATCACTGATGCGTTTGTTTTAGGGGATGAATTAGTCTTCTGAGCCCCGAGCATGTCCAATTTATGAATTAGATTTCATTGAAAGCTAGAACAAAACAAAACAAGAAAAGGTTCTGCTGTACCACTCTTCTTCCCCACCACCTCGTCCCCAGCGCGGGGATAAAAACCTCGCATTTCCATTTCTCTCCTCAAACACGGATCATGTCCCGGGCTCGAGCGTGCGGAAGGAGGAAGGGGCATTCCCTCCACCTCCCGCTTCCCCCGTCGCTGAAGTTGGAGCAGCGGCAGCGGGCGCAGCCCCGCGCCCTTACCTGCGGGGGCGTCCCGCGGTGCCGGGCCGGGCGGGGGCTGCGGGAGGCCACGTAGCGCTGGGCGCTCTCCGGGCAGCGGCTGCGGCCCCGCGGAACAGCCTGCGCCCGGCAACCGGGAGCTGCCCACCCGCCTCGCATCCCTGCGCTTGGAGCATTCGTCCCCTACTCCATTCCTCGGGGTGACATACATTATATATAAAGATATATATATATATATATACGTATAATTCTGGCTCTATGAAGGCGGGCGGCGGCGGCGGGGGGGCCGCTCCGCAGTTCGCGGTCTGCCGGCGCCCCGGCACACACCGAGCGCTGGAGGCTCCGCCGCGCCGCCTGCCAACCCGGGATCTACCTCCGTTATTTTCTAGCCCCGTTTATTTTTGGTGTTTTTTTTTTTTTTTTCCCTCCCCATCACCCGTTTTCCTCAATCTTGGATAATTCTTGGGGTGCTGGGGGATTTTGGGATTTTTTTCTAAGAGGGGGGCGTCTGGGCATCTCCCCCCGCGCCCGCTGCCTTGCTCCACCTGCCCTTGCGCCTTTTTTTTTTTTTTTTTTCTTTTTCCCTGTCTCTCCACCAAACCCGGGCTGATGTGCTGTGCGAGAGGCTGGAAATGGAAGTGTTGATGCTCTGGCTTTTCCCCTGGATATTTCAGTGCGTTTCGGTGCGGGCGGACTCCATCATCCACATTGGTAAGAGAGAGGGAGCGGGGGGGGGGGGGGGGAGGGAGAGGGAAGGGTAGATAAATAAATATATAAAAGAAGCGTAGAAGCGTCTCGTTTAGCCGCGATAATGTCACGGGCAGTGGTGGAACCCAACTCCGCGGAGAGACAGGAGGATAGATGGGAGGAAAGCAGCTGTATTCTGCCCCCGGTTGTAAAGTTAGGACCGAAATGCCGCCTGTGCGCCGGGCAGGGGACCCGCCGGGGCCGCCGCTGCGGTCTCCCATGTGGCTGGGGAGTCTGTGCTTGGACCTGTTTGCGTGGAAAGGCTTTCTTCCCCCCACCCCCCGCCTCCTCGCCACCGAAAACAAACAACCGCCCCCATCACCCGAGCAGGAGAGAGGCATAATCTGAACGTGCTCGCAGGGAAAACTTTCGGGGAGACAATCCCCTGGTTTCCATCCCCTGCCGTAGCAGGTGTCAGCCAAGGCGGAATACAGGGGGCGGAGAGGGAACTTGGCTGGGAAAGGGTTAGGACGGCGAGCTTTGCAGCGGCTCTGTGTGAGTGTGTGCGTGTGTGTGTGTCTATGCGCGCAACTGTTGTGGTTTGAATAAGATCTCATTAAAACCCCTGGGCAGCAAGAAGGCTGGATCAGTGGGAGGAAGAGAGAGATGAATAAGGGGCAAAGGAAAGGCTGATGTGAACTTTTATGGCTTCTGGGAGCAAGGCACGGTGATGTCCGCGGGAAGCCTGGCAAGCAAAAGCGAGGCTCTGCAGTCACCTTTTGGCTGGTGTTGAAAGGTACCAGCAGGATCGAAAACGAGGATGTTTAGGGGCGGAGAGGGGGGAGAGAATCACTTGTAGAGGATGATAGAGGAGGAAACGGGAGTATGTCTGGGAAATGGACAGCCGTGATTCCCACCAGCCTTTTGGGGAGGATGGGAGATCAGAAAAAGGAGGGGGCCGGGGTAGGAGCCATCCTGGCGAGGGGAGGCTCCACGGATACGGGAAGAAAGTCCCGAGGCAGGGAAGGGGAGAAAGGGACCAGCCCTGTAACAAGTTTCCCGGCACGGACGGCTCCGGGGCCAGTGGGAATGAGGCTCCGGTCGTCGCCGCTCGCCTCCGGAGCGCAGCCAAGGCAGACAGCATTGCAGAGCCATTAAGGAGACGGGGTCAGCCCTGACCGCAGCGGGGGACTCCGGCCCAGGGGCAGTCCCCAGGGCAGTGCAGACCCCCACGGCACCGGGTCCAGCCCCGCGGGGAGGAAGGGCCGGGGTAGGAGGGTGGGTGAAGGAGTCTCCGCGGGTCTCTCTCTCGGCCCCGCTTCCCTTTCGCGTGGACCGTGTCACCTCGGCTTCTCCCCGCACGAACTTCAGCCGGAGCGCTGTTTGCTAACTAAGTGCTGGCAGAAAGAGCGGTCCGCTGGGCAGGAGCGGGGAGCTGCTGTGTGCAGGGCTGTGATGCACACCGGCAGTGCACGGAGGCTCAAGCCACAGGCACGCACGGTGTGAATCAGCAGAACTTTTCCAGGCTGGGGAATAATGTTTTTTGCTCGTTTTGTTGCCAGCTCTAAAGATCTACCAGCACCGCGTACAGCAGGGCAGTAAGCCTGGCGTGGGCACACACACGCTCCGCGAAGAGGGATTTTATGTAACACACATCGCCAGATGTTTTCACGTTAACTGCATAAACAGGACAGTGAAATTAAAGCTTCCAGGTTACTGGACACAAATCCCGGCTTCACATTCGTGTGTCCTTCTAAGCCTCAATAAAACCGCGGCCCGAAAGGCAGCATCCCAGGGAGAGGCGAGCAGCGAGCAAAAAGTTGGTGGAGTTTCCAAGCCTGCTCCCTTTCCCGTCACTGGCGAAGCAAGTCCATCACCCCGCCGTGCCTCTGCTTCAGGGCTCCGTAAATGCCGGTGGAGCAGAAGTGACCGGGAGGAGGGCTGCGCTGCCCCGTGCTCCGGACGAGGCCGCCCACGTGTGCGGCGCGGCCCCAAGGGCAGCCGGTGCCCCCGGGGCTGCCCCAGCCGGCGCCGTGCGAGCCGGCTTGAGCGCTGCACTGCCCAGAGGGGAGTGGGGGTCCTGGCCAAGCCCTCCTCACCCTCTGCCACCTTCCTCCCCTCAGGTGCCATTTTCGAAGGCAATGCTGCCAAGGACGACGAGGTGTTCAAGCAGGCGGTGTCGGATCTGAACCTCAATGACGACATCCTCCAGAGCGAGAAAATCACTTACTCCATCAAGCTCATAGAGGCCAACAACCCCTTCCATGCGGTGCAGGAAGGTGAGCGCCTCGGGCGGCACTCCCGGCGGGGGGGAGTTGGGTACGTGGACGGGACGGGGCTGAAGGAGGATCGTCCCGTCCCATCGGCCGGGAGGGGCTGTCGGTGACAGCCCGGACCTGTCCTGGCGTTCGGCTGGAAACTTTTCTTCGGTCGGGGGTTGGCGCTGTTTTACAAGGAAAGGGGAGGGACGGCGCGGTGCGGCGGCGGCGCCGTGCCCAGCCCAGGCGGGTCCGGCCGTGCGCGCAGCGCTGCCCGGGCCGGGGCTGCAGCCGCGCTGCGCAGGGACGGCCGGACAGGGCAGGGCTGGGCAGCGCAGGGCGGAGGGGCTCCACAGCAACCCTGCTCCGCCAGTGCCGAGGGCAGGCCGGGCCACGTCGCACCGCTGCCCCCGTGCCACCAGCAGGGCCACGCGTGGACGCGTTGGGACAGGGCACGGGAAGGGTCCCGCCCGCAGGGAGGGAGGCGGTGATGCGGCACCGAGGGGCCGGGCAGGGCGTCTGACTCTGGCCGGGGCGGCCGCGGAAGGTGCGGGCACAAGCCGCACTTCTCCCCGAGCATCCAGGGAGGCAGGGCCGGGGCGGCAGCGTGAGCGTGAAGCATCCACGGGGGGCCGGGCAGGGGGTGAGGGGGCTGGCTCAAAGCCTTCCCTGAGTTTGCAAGATCTGAAAAGTAGCTCCGTTGGTAAATCATTCCAATTAGATTTTTTTTTTTTTTTTTTTTTTTTTGAGAAAGGGAAACGTTTAAATTAATCAGCTTGCCTTTACAAATAAGACTTTAAAAAGATATTATTTGTGATTTAATGAAGCGAAGGTTAATTATGGCCTAGGTTATTTAAGAAGGTTTTTTTTTTTCAGTAGTAATTATTCTAGAAACAGAAAGCTATTTATATACCCAGACTAGAATATTTAAAAAATGATTCATCACCAGCCTTACCCTTAGTTTTACAGAGCACAGTGAATCTTTCCCGGTATGAAAATTTGCATTTATCCATATGTATTTATGTCTAAGTTGTGTACATGTAAATTATGGCTACAAAATTATACCAAATGTTAATTTTCATGAACTCTGAACAATTTCTTCTGCTCACTCTTTTCCTCAGAGTAGGTGCTAGTTAGTATTATCAGGAGAAACAGCAATATATGTATTTTCAAGGGCCTCATCCCATTGACGGTAAGATTCCTTCAGCTGCTCTGAAAACTTAGCAAGGTGCTATGAAAAAAAATCTTTATGAAAATGGGAAGAAGGAGATTTGAAAACAAAACTGCACCCACATATTCAGACACCAGAGGAAACCAAAAATCTCCAAGTACTGGTGGGTTGATTTATTGGCAAAGAATAAGTGAACAATTGGATCTTCTTCCATTTACAAAACTCAGTGTCCTATATTGGAGCTTATTCATATTCATGGAAGTGACAGTAGTTGGCTGGCTGAACAATAGCTTTCAACAATGTCTCTTCTCAGAAGTAAAACTGTATGAAACCATTTTGGATGCCCAGCGATCTGAGCTGGCAGTCTGGTGGATGGGGTCCTTTTGCTCAGTTTTGTTAAAAGCAGGAAAGCGTGACCTAGTGGTGGATTCTTCTTGGTCTAGTAATACTTTTTAAAAATTGAGTTATTTGCTAACCTTGAAGATTGGGGTTGCATTTATGAAGACTACTATGAAAATAAATTCTTTCTGTTGAATTTCTATGCTGCAACCACAGAAAAGAGCCTGGTCAGATTTTCAGCCATTTTGTTACAGGAGCTTTGTGCTGCCTGAATATATGTAAATGAAGACGTTTTCTGCTGTCCCTTCCAAGATGCTCTTTGACTGCCCATTGCAGTTTGAATTGCTTTTTGATGAACTGATACCATGCTGGAGAATTAAAGGAAATGGTTGATGATTCTTCACTATTCCAAAAAGAACTTGTTCTCTCTCGCTGCTTCATTAAGGCACATCAAGGTGTTTTCTTTTGGGAGAACTGTGGAATGATCCTTTCTGCAAGTACAAGCTTGCCACAATGGGAGGCCTAAGAAAAGAGTGTCTGACTTTGCTCAGTTTCCTGGCTTGCTTTGTTGGTTCAGGTCAGGTCTTTTTTTTTTTAAATTTCAGATTTAAGTTTGTACCTTTGAAACTCATCCATGTGGGAAGAATAATCCATGGGATGTACAAGTTACTGGTCTGTTCTTACTGAGCAGTGTCTCATTGCCCAGTGTTACTTGATGTTCTGATTATTCAAAATCTCATCACTGTTTGTATATCCTGCTCATTTTGGTAAAATACTGCATGTAGTAGTCAGAACAACCTGGAGTAAATCCACTGCCCAAACTGCTCACAGAATCTTGCCGCCACTACATAAAACGCCCTGACATCCACATTATTCTTCTGCAGCATCTTTCCAAGCAGTGGCATGGAAATCAATGTTGCAAGCCTTAGCTTCACAGGGATGGAACTTTTTTTACAAGTGAAAACCAATTTGGAATAGATCATTGTCTATCACCACCAGAATAGTTCACACAAGGAAACCAATCAAATACTGTTTTTATTTGAAGTGTCTTTTGCACAGTCTTGTAAGATGACATTGTAAATTATCCTTAAGTCGTTTTAGAAGAGAACTTTAAAGAGGGACCTTCATTTCCATGATATTGTGCTGGTAGAATTACAGAAAGTCATAATTCCACATAACAATGTCTATTACACAATGATGAAACTTTAATTACTGAGATAGTTCTAGCGTGTCCTGACATTTACTGTGCAGTTGGAGAACATCTGCGTGGGTAGGAAACACAGAAGAGTAGTACCAGCAGGGTTTTCTTAGAGGAGCAATGCATTCACAGAACTAAGGCCAAACAAAAGATACCTTGCTTTTCATACATAGTAGTTTTCAGTGCTGGGATGTGCTGAGAAGTATTGGTAGATTTTGGGGAAAAAAACCCAAAAAACTCTAGGGACTTTGCTATAGTCAGGTAAGGGAACTATAGTGATACTCTCTGGTGACTGAAATCGGTAAATAAAATTCAGAGATAGTTTTTCTTCAAAGACTTGGTGGACGCTCATGTTACCCATTGTGTCAGGTACCAGAAAACTGCAATTAACAAAAAGTATAAATTTTGTTTCCTTCTTTGTCTTTCATTTCAATGTGTATTGCATAAACAAGATCCTGTTTTGCTGATAAGTAATGAGATTGTTTTGGTCCCATTAAACTCACTGTATAACGAAGTGCAGCAAATGGGTGCAAGGAACTCCAGTGGCAAGGGATGAAACAGTAAAGAATGAACAGACCCTGGTGTATGCATAAAATAGTCCTCGTTTGTTTGCCCTTGCAAGCTGTTGTTGCATTTGGTAGAATATTGCTTTTATGTATGTGGCAATTACTTGAGGGAAAAATTGTTTTTTCACTGACTGTTATGGGAGGAAATATACATGGGGAATCATTGTTCTTTTCATGTGATGTCGAGAAATAAGCTCAAACCACAAATGTGAAGTTAAACTAGATTCTTGCTTCCAAAAGAGTTATGTGCTCAGTTTCAGTTAAATGATTGCAGTGTGAGCTTGTTTTTGTGTGGCCTGTATTTAAACTAGCTGTAGTAATCTTTTTGTGATTCAAGGATTCAAATAAGCTCAAAGCTACTTTTTAAGGCTTTCTGTTCAAACTGAGATTTCTGAGCCTGTCATTGGTGCTCAGAAGGGATTGTGTGCATGACATACGGGTGGCAAAAAGGTTTGTGGATGGGCTTGAAAATGTGATGGCATGTTTAAACCAAAAAAACCCAAACAAAACTGACCTGTAAGTTTTTAAAATGTTGCTTTCAAAGCGGGCATAGTTAGCTGTAGGTCAAAACTGGAACATGAGAAAGCTAATATTTGCCGTTTGTAGCATTCTTAGAAGAAGGGATCCAAAGGAGCCTGTTACTCTGAAACTGCAAAACTTTAAACCCCTTTTTCTCAGTGGATGATGCTTACACATCTGTGGAGCTTTCCTGGAGCTGAAACTTGCTGTTCTCTCTGCATAGCAATTCCAAATGAATCGTTTCTAATTTGAGAGGCCTTGTATGTGTGCTTGTTGTTGTTAAAATGCTGTCAGTTCTGGAAACCAGAAAAAATTTGGAAAATAAGAATGTGATTTGAGAGCAAGAACGGTGTTTCATGAATGGGTTTATTGTCAGTCCCATACACACTGCTGTGGTTTCAGAGCAACTCAGAGCTGCTTAGTTTTTGGGTGTCTTTGCTGTATACCATTGAGTGAATGTGATCTGTTATCATAGTCTGTAGTACTTGGTAATGATCTGTACTTGACATAAAATAGAATAGACAGAATAGACTATTGGAAGTGACCTACAACAATATCTGGTCCAGCTGCCTGAATAATTCAAGGCTGGCCAAAAGTTCGAGTGTGTTGTTAAGAGCAATGCCCAAATGCCTCAACCACTGACAGGCTTGTGGCATCAAGCACCTCTCTGGAAAGGCTGTTCCAGTGTCTGACCACCCTTGCAGTAAGGAAATGTTTCCTCGTGTCCAGTCTAAACCTCCCGTGGCACAGCTTTGAACCATTCCCACACATCACGTCACTGGATCTCAGGGAGAATAGATCAGCACATGGCTCTTATCTCTCTTGTCTCAGCACATATATTTAATGTTACAACCACAGTTGCTTTCTACAGTTTTATTTGCTGAGAGGGTGTAAGCTGATGAAATAAGATGAAATACAGATCTGGAGAACCAGACTCAGCAGCTTCATTGCTATTTACATTTGTTTGTGAAATATTGCACGTACAAATTACTAGGGTTTTTTACTATTATCATTATTTATTTTTTTTTATTTAAAAAAAAAACCCACAAACCCAAACCCAAAAATTTATTGATTTAACCACACTGGCTTGGGGAACTGGGTGCAGAGGTAGGACTTATAGGCTGTACCTAGATTTTTCAAGTAAAGCATTAGAAAAAAATCCCACCTGCCAGAATTGCAAAGGATTGGTTTATATCGATGTACTGTCAGTTTTTTTTCCAGTGTTTTC